AGAATATAAATTCCCATTATATCATTCTGAAACTTAAACTATCAAAACACAAAATCAATCCTTGCACGAAGCTAGGATCGAACACACGAACTTGATCTTTGCAGACGAACTGTAAAAATCAACTTCGCTGTTCTTTCCTATATTCTGCACAATGATTGAAATTTTGCAATGACTCGATGTTTAACTATTTTACCTTCGACAGGTCCATTCATAAACATGAGGGCTCTCGGTGAACCGTGATATAAGTTTAATCTAAAGTATAAGAAAACGTGAACTATTGAAAGAAAGAAATAATGCTATCTCACTTCATGCTAAGTGGTTTCCGATCATTTTCAACTGGTGCACGTAAATTAATTATTGTCCAACCGCCAGCAAGTTCTTTTCTATCTTCTCTTTCTTCATCCGAACGAAACATAAACTGGATAACCAAATAATTTTCTTCATCAGAGATTGGTATATGAAAATATAACGGCTAAAATAAGATATCACAGATAAAAAGAATTCATCAAAATAATTAATGAATGTTGTCTATACCTCGTTAAAATTAACACGAAATAAATTATCGGCAAGTTTTCCTTTATGCCATTGACTAAGCCATGTTTGTCCATAAAAACGTTTATATAATCCATCATATAATGTTGCATAAAATTGAACTTCGTATGGTGCGAGTATTGCCTAGAAAAAACAACAAGTAATTGAAGTTCAATCTTCAAATAAAATATCAATCAAGAAAAAATGCATACGGACGATACTGTTGATGATGCGAGTTCTAGAGATTTGATTGAAATACGAAACGGAACGACGTTTTTCGGTGGATCCGCGCCACTAACTTCAATTTCGCTAGGATGTGGAACACTCTGAGAACTTTTGGTCAGTTGTTCAAACCAAAAGCTATACGGATCCATTATTCAATTCTACTGTTCAATGAATCGTAGGAACAGAACTACCAAATAATTAGTTCATGTTTCACCCCACCAAAAAAAACCGACAAACGATGAAAAATAGAAATACAAACCAGTATCCCTCCTTTTCTTCAATATCTTGCTGACCTTTTTTGCAGCTAACATCAGGAAGCCACGATAGATGTCGCTTCAGCACTGCCTGTTTCCATGACTCTGCAATGACCACAAACGTTAGAATCGAAAAAAATTTTGATATTTAAACTCGACTTATTTGTACTAAATAAATTTCATTTTACAACCGCTTTGTATCGTCTGTTTTCAAATTGCGTTTCTTCTGAATACAACCGAAAAACACATTTCTCATTCTGAGACGCAGGGATACGAGTTTGAACGGAATGAAACGGCTTTTTCCTGGTTGTTCTACTAAAAAATAAAAAACTAAGATAAACGCGTTCTGAGTTTATAAACGCGATAGAATGCAGTCTTTCTCTAAAGGCGTTCTATTCCATTTTTTACTTCTTGGCGAGAAAAAACAACAGCACACAAACAATTGTTCGTTATCGTTTAAATGCATTATAAATCGTTTCTAAATTGTTTCGTCTCCAAATAAGAAACGATGTTAAACGCGTTTGAGGTCCGAAACGAATACAAACGCATTAACGAATCAACTTTCAGACCGTGACACTTCGTATTTTATAGAGAAATCTTTAATCTATTTAATTAGCTATTTGGAATCTTAAATTAGTTTGTAGATTCATTGCAAGAATTTTTTGAAAAAGAGCAAAAAAGGGGTACCGTTAACCGGACTAGCCGATCTGTAATCCGTTGATTGCACTTCAGTGAAAAAATCGTTTCAAGGAGACCAATCCTCTTAACATAAAAAGTTCTCCTTTGCTGAAAAAAGTGAAAATTCTTGTTTTAAGGTGATGGTTTTCATCTCCACCGTATCTCACCTAAATCCGCCATTGTTGGGATCATCATCACTTTGCAAGTTGTTGATCTTAAGCTGCATAAGCGAACACAACTGACAACATAACTACAACGGATTCCAATCCACCTACAAACATCTGACGCATACCTACTTGCTATACATATTCTTTGATCAACATTGAGCCAAGATAATTCATTGATGGTTTTCATACGTTCATGAATTTAAACATTTCTTACTGAAGTTTATAACACACCTTCGAATGTCATCTGCCAATGGACTAAACATTTCATAATTTATATCACATTGTTCGTTTTAATCATCACATATTGCATATTTTAAGCGGTAATGTTTGATCATTTTTGGCTAAATATTTCAACCATAGAGGGATGTAATATTAAACTTTTCTTTAATATACATATGCTTTTATGTAATTATATTTAATTTATGTAACAAGAACTTGGTAGATCGGTCCCTGTCTCGCGAATTCAAGTAGTACTTTAGTTTAAGAGTGATTGATTAAACTGTATTCAGTAGGATTCTAATACAGAGATCCGGATCACTTGGCCGACACCACTTCGCCGACATGTACACTTTGCCGATAGGTACTTTTTCTCGGTATGTACACTTTGCCGACAACTCATTTTGCCGACAAAAAATTGAAGTCCAAAAAACTGTGTATGCGCGTTTGGCTTGCTGGGTAAGTACTCACAGCCAGTCTCACCGCCCTCCCCCCTAGCAAACGGTCACATTTGGAGAGAGATTCTCCTCTGTTTGTTTTGCGCGACAAAATTTTAGCATAAACTATGTCTCAATTTTCTGATACACACAAAAAATCTTTCCTATGTCTGAGGCTCGTTTTACAGCGTTAGCACCCCTCCATTCCCGAACAAACTCGGCCTAGATCTCCAGTATAAAGGCAACAAAACGCATCCTAATTTCCTTGAAGTCCAAGAAAACTGGAAAAGGCTTTTCTGGACTTCAATTTTTTGTCGGCAAAATGAGTTGGCGGCAAAGTGTACATGTCGACCAAGTGGTGTCGGCCAAGTGAACGCGACCCTAATACAGAATGGTACTTTTAAGAAATGTATAAATTGAACAAAAAAGCTTTTCGTTTTGTTATTAGACATAAAAGAAATTAAGGCACTATGGGTAGAACTACGAAATTTTTTCTTCCTCTTATTATTAAGTGTTTTTTAACGTCGCTGTTTTAATGGCATTCTTAATCTACATTATGCGAAATCAATACTTATACAAAATATAGCAGTAACGTTCTGTTAAATTTAAATGAATCAGCCCTTCAAATTATTTACATAATCCTAGAACATTACTTCATATTTAACCTTCTACACGAAATTCCTTTAGCACAATAGAAACTCAAAACAACATCTACATAGCAGTGTAGTAGTTCATTGTGTTATGAATCATACAAGCTCTTGTTTGATACTTCTCAGTGGGAATGTTCGGTTCTTGATTCTTGTGAAGCATCGGAATCGCAGTTCTGTTTTGCATGAAAAACCGAAACCGCGGTTCTCTTATTTTTGGTTCTTCATCAGGAATCAGAACTACGGTTTCTTAGACGGTTTCTTTTTTTCAGAACCGAGACTTTTTGACTTGCCTTTCTTTTAACAAAATGAAAACGCCCTATTGACAAAGTTACAAAAAGATATATTTGCCTGTCATCATTTAAAAGAATCCTTTTGTTTACTATGAAATGAATTTTATTTCGTTGAGCACTTACTGGCTGAAAAATTATTTTTCGGTTCTAACTCGAGAGCCCCAACCGAGAACTGAACATGCCTATTTCTCAGTCTACCTTCATTTAATCACCTATTGTGCGCGTATGAGTCATAAGACAGAAAAAACCAACTATTTCCAAAATATCTCAACAACTACAGATCAGTTAAATTTTTGTCTGCTGAAAGGGCCCATTTACACAATATATTGAACAGAAAGTGTGAAGAAACCCCATTGATCGAATAAACCATTGATAGAGAAGTGTGCGTTCAAAATTTATCTTGGTGGGTTTTTCAAAGATCCGATATGCTAAAAGCTTGACCTCTGCTTGAGCTATAGCTGCGAAATAGGGTAAAAAAACGAAGAGGACTATGTAAATTATTTCTTAAGTTTTTATTATAATTCCCAATAGCAGATATAAGACTTCTTCCCACCCTTTGTCTTCACTCACAACTATTTAACGTTTTTTTAATAAGTAGAATTATATATCTTTTGACAAACATCTAGATTAGTACATTTAGGGTAAGTGGTAAAACACGATAAACATGTACGCATGATCAAATTCCGCGCTCATAACTAAAGTACTACCACACACTGCATGCTCATGAGACTGCGATTCCAGTGAAGAAATATTTCTTTAACAACATGCATCAACAAATAGTAATAAGGCGCATTCAGAAGTAGGAATTAATAGGCATGCATCAGTTTTTGACTGGTGTTGGGGTATCCGAGGGAATTGCTATACATCAGTTATCACGATTCTCTCAGAGCTGTGAAACATCTCTTTTTTATAGAAACAAAATGCAGAAATTGTTAAAAAAATTCCAGAATCATTTCTAAGAAAACTTAGAGTATTCTAAAATGTACCGAATCATGGAAAAAAGCTGTTCAAACAGTTTTTTTCCATGATTTAATGTATTTTAAAATACTCTAAGTTTTCTTAGAAATGATTCTGGAATTTTTTTAACAATTTCTGCATTTTGTTTCTACAAAAAAGAGATGTTTCACAGCTCTGAGAGAATCGTGATAACTGATGTATAGCAATTCCCTCGGATACCCCAACACCAGTCAAAAACTGATGCATGCCTAGGTATTAACCCATTGAAACATCATCGTTCATCATCAAAACTATTTGTGAAGGATAAGACTATTCGAAGCTTCAAATGTACTTAAAGTGCAAGAATAGGTATCCACGCTCTGAATGAAAATATCACTATATCTCGTGAATAATCATTAGCGATATACTCCGTTTTGTCCTGCGTTTATCATTATCTTCCTCTTTCGCTCCATATCACCGTAAATTGAGAAATCTAATGGAGTTTGAATTGTTTCACAGAATCATACTGTTCACTCGAAAAGAGATGGTTAATGAGAGTGGGTGAAAAAGCAACATTCCACGCGTTCTTGTTGACACGAAAGGTTAAATATTAAGCTTTGTAAGTTCTTGTTCCGACTAGTATCGATCTTCGGACTGAATCTATCATACTCCATCAAATTTCTCATTTTTCGATTGAATTATTCTGTAAAATACTCTGAAAAATTCATTAAGATTGAAAGATAAGTAGAATGATAAAGTGATGAAAATGTAACTATGCCAGGGATGAAGTTTGAAGGAGAGAGTAACGTTGCGATGTTGAGTAACTGCCTGTCTTCGTCATTTTCCTTGTTTTGTTTGCAAATCTCAGGTTAATTGGGATTATGACATCTCTCACCTTTTCTTTTTGAAATATCTTTGATACTCGAGTAAGTTTTTGATACTCTTATTCCTACTACTAAAAAACATGTTCTCGCTCATCGTCGAACTATGGTATTTCATCATTCAGCAGAAGAAAAAACGATAAAGATCTCAGGCATTATATACACTTTTGCCTTTTATTCTAGTAAAATTCTGAAATCGGCGGAACTGTAAATAATCTAGTAGTCAAACTCTAGTTAATAAATTTGACTCCAACAAATAAAAAACCATTACCCATTATGCCGACCAAATTGCTATTCAAAGTACTTGTTCGACCGATGCCACACATATCCATTAAGACCCAAGAATTTATATGTCTGAATGGCATAAAAAGTCAACAGTTTTGAATTTCAATAGACTTAAGTTATAACAAATCGGTTTTATTTCAATGTAACAATCACACACATACAGATAAGAATTAAAAACGAGAAGACGAAACTTGAGCACATTTTTGAAATGATCATGTTTTACGTCTTTGTCAATTAAGCCTAGTATTTGTTTTATTTTCTGTTACAGTTCATCGTTCATTCTCGTTCTATCACCAATAAAGAAGAAATGACCTAAAAATAATTAGTGACGCTGTTGTTTTATTGACCTCCAGGTCTTAACGATGATAGACCCGCACGCAAAATTTCATCAACAAGAATGAGATTCGTTGCTATTGATGTACTTGAGTGTATCAGTTGTTTTTTAACACGATAATTATCATAGATACCCATCGATTTTGGATCCATTGCTTCACCTGATGTAATATCAACACCAACAGGTATTTTTGAATTTGCATATTCATGTTGTAATTTAACAATTGTTTCTTGTTGATCGTGACCAGCATTTTGAGCTACAGCTTTTGGAATTATTAATAATGCGTCAGCAAACGCTTGTACACCGAGACGTGCACGACCTTTTACTTTTTCTTTATATTGTGTTAAAGCTTGATGGGCAGCAATTTCAAAGGAACCGGCACCAGGAATAACACAAACTATAAACAAGAAGAAATACATTTAAAATTATTTTAAAACATTTTAATACCTACCATCTTCGATTGCATTGACAACTGCTCGTAAACCATCACGAAGAGCATCTTTTAATTGATTTATAATGTACTTGGTACTTCCTTTGAGTAAAATTGTTACGGACTTTGGATTTTTACATCCTTCAACAAATGTGAATTTTTCTTCTCCCTGCAAAATAATGCAATTGAAAACGTGACAAAAATCTAGATATGTGATTTTTCTTTTTTCTCAAACAGTCCCGATTATTCCTCAGCAATGTGCAAACTATCAACTGGTATTGCTGATCATCCTTCTGTATTCCCGTGTTAATTAATCGACTTACCAAAACATGTTCATAAACGTCCTCAGCATAACCTAAACAATCCTTTGTTAAATTGTCCAATGAGCTATAAAATGAAGTACATGCATCAGCATACAGTAGCAAAATATTTTCTTGATATACTAACTTCATTGCTTCGCCTCCACATGCTAATGTTAAACGTTCCATATTTCGTCGTTTAGCACGTCTTAAACCAAGTATCCCTTCTTTAGCCAATGCATCCAATGAGAATGGATCAATACCTTTTTGATTAATAACTACAAAATGTTTTGTTTTATCATCACCACAAACTTTCTTTTTTAAATCAATTATTTTTTGAACACGATCTTCAATAAATTTTCTTTCCGATGTAACTAAACTTTCACGTTCTTCAACATTTTTATAAAAAAATCCAGCATTTACTTCTCTAAAATAAAATAAACACACATTTGTAGAATGTAACAAAAAAAAAAGTTATTATTCGTACGGTTTTTCATATTCAAGTGAAACATTACAAGTTAAAATATAAGCATTTTTTAGAGCTTTTGGCATTGATGGATGTCTGCCACCATGATCCATGACAATACCACGTACAAGACGTGAATCAGCTTCAGTACGATGCATCATATCCATTATTTCGATCATATTCAAATCAACAGGCTTGCCATCTTCATGTAAAGTAAGTACAGCATCAACAATTATCTAAAAATCGATATAAAATAAATAAAAATTATTAGAAAGAATTGATAATACACACATCTGTTAAAAGATCAGCATTTTCTCTTGACAATTTTGTACGAAGTGATGTACGTGCCATTTGTAATAAAAGTTCACGATCGATTGGATTTAATTTCAATGGTATTTTTAATTTGTCCAAAACATTTAATGATTCTTTTTTGGCTAATTCAAAACCTTCGGCAACAATACGAGGATGTAATCCCTAAATCAATTTGAAAAAAATATTTATTTTTTTAAAATTTTACACTTCTTTCTTACTTCACTAATATAAAGATCGGCTTGTTTTAACAATTCACCAATTAATAATACAATACTTGTTGTACCATCTCCGGTAATATCATCTTGGGCTGTTGCGGCTCGAGCGATCAACGATGCTGTTGGATGTTGAACTTGCTATAAAAAATAATAAAAAATTTTAATTGAAGCATAAAATAAATCAAAAACTACTACTACCATTTCATGAAGTAGCGTATTTCCATCTTTGGTTATTTTTATATCGCCAGCACCTGATACTAACCTAAATTCAAATACAAAATAAAATGAATTTTAAATCTTCAAATAATCTCAGTATACTTACATTTTCATTGTTCCCTTTGGACCTAGATTTGTTTTTAAAATTTCAGCTAAACCTCTTGCAGCCGAAATATTGATGGCTAATGCTTGTGCTTGTCGTGCACTTTCAGCTTTTGGATTTAATGTTGTTATTGCTGACATTCTTTTACCTATGTTCTTTTTTTTAATCTAAATCTATTTATTCATATTAGAAAAAAAAGAAGAAAGTCTAAATTATCCCGGATATTCATCACTCAATCAGTTCGTTTCCAAAATTAAAAACCAGTATATTTTTCCATTATACATATGTTATAATAACTTTTGACTTCACATTTCACATCATTATTGCATCATCATATTTCATTCATAAAGACTAATGAGGGAGTTCCCCCAAGTCCCCAATATTTTTCTTCGTGCGGTATGATTTGACTAAGTGTAACTTTTTATGCAGAGCGTGAATCTGATATCTGTATTTGCCCTTCGGACTTTCTTCCACAAATCTCTAGAAATTCAGTTTCTACAAACACACTATCTACTTTATTTCAAGAAAAAAATGACACAGCCGGTTTGTAGAGTATGTTAAGCTGCCCTTGAAAACTAATAAGTCGGCTTCTACTGAAACGTGAAATTTTTATCAATATGAAAACTGATGAGTTCAGTATTTTCAGTAATGTGGATAATACAAATCTCGTATCTTAATAAAAGTCCATCCGTTATGGCTTTGTAGAAATTCGTAGAAAAATGTCCTAAGGGCAAAAACGGATATCAGATTCGCGATCAGCATCAATAAGTACAACAGAGATGAAATATATTTATAGAAAAATTATTCCATGTTTCAGGTGTCTTTTTTAGTCATGTTCAAACATAACAGCACATTGTGAATTGTAGTAAATATATCACCTTTTCTGATTGAATAAAATTAGAAGGTTCAAAAACTACAGTCAGAGAGAATGAACGAATTTAAATGAAAGAAAATAGGAAAGAAAAGAGACAAATCTTGACTAGTATGCTAAGTAAAAATACAGAAAACAACGTCTAATGAACAGATTCAGCATTTTGTTGTTGTATAGCGACAACCTTGTTTACTGTTGCTGTGGATTGAATATGAATTTCTGGTTATGGAATTGATATAATTATTCCTGAGGCGGTGGCATTGTACTTTGAATTATCTTCAATTATTGATGACGAAACACTTGGACCACTATAAATAAGTAAAACCATTGCAGGTGGACAAAAAAACAATTGCCAAACATACTTGTGCTATAGATAGATAATGAACGTATGTGTCTTATAAGCCCATCACGTAAACGATACTAATTGTTGTAGCGATGGCAATTATATTAATAGTAGAAATGAATGTGGACAAGTTTTTTGACAACATTTAATGAATCGTCGCGAGATATACGTCATAAATCCATCCATTTTTGGATATAAACTTAATGCTTAATCAACCGTTCGCATGACCAGAACTGGTATGATACTTATTTCAACTAATTGTTGGATAACAACAGCTACTTATGTGTATAGATTGTACGTCCATCAAAACATAACGATGTGACTAAAATGAGAGGATACAACATCCCAAATAGAATCCAGAAGTAGGCGAATACGAGTAGTAGCCAAGTACAAAATTTGCAATACTAGTACTCGTACTCATACTTAAGACTTTTTTTTTAGTGATTACGCTCGCGTACTTGATTCTCTTGAATTTGATGAAATTCTTAATACATTTCTCAAATAATATAGGATTTCTTTTGAAAACTGATGGTATAAACGAAAAATACAGTTAGGAACAATTGTTCAAATCTCTGAAAACTCTTCGTTGCTGAAAATTAAGCGATTTCGTTTTCTTTGAAATATCTGTAATATTCAAGTAAAATTTTTTTGTACTCGCCCATCTCCGAAAGACTCCGCTATAATCATACAAACTGCATACTATTCATTATCGTTCTCAGTTTGCATTCTTCTGGCGATTTATGGTCCCCATTCAGAGAACATGAGTCTTATATTCATCTCTCTCACAGTGCTGAATAACAACATAAACATTCAACATTACAGACCAGTATTGGTGAATAAAACTTTAGAACGTGAACTGTTCAGCTATTATTTACACAGACAATGCAGCAAAAATACATACCTTAAAGATTGCTGGAGTTTAAGATTCAATCACACACTTACATCCAACATGTAGTACAAATATCAATATAAAGTCAATAATTTATTATCTAAAACAATAAAAACATATGTAAATCCATATAATGAAAGAAGGACAGCAGTATAGGATCAGAATCTAAACGCGAAATCTATTTTGTAATACCCAAAATGTACTTGGAGAACTAAAGATAGAGAGTATCTCAAATAAACAACTAAAGATTCATTTGTTTACAGCGAGGATGGTCTAAAAAATGGCGTTACATGGAATTTCAGCGTATAATATGTTTGACTCATTGTGATAGATAAGCAAAATAAACATTTGTTGTCAATCGCTAAACGACACTCTGCTTGTCAATCACATGACGAATTGATACGATAGACTCGTCAAGACAATTCCTCTGCTCTGTTAAAAGCGATCTCAGGCTACTAAAGGTTTCGGTTTTTTACCATTCTCAAAAACGTTTGAACATACAAAGAAAAAAGCATCACTATTTTGCAAGTAAAGACACGACCAGACAAAACGAAACAGACTTATTAAATTATTTGACGAGATGAAACTCGTCCTTCTCAGCACATTGTCTGAAGCTAAGAGCATCTCAAAAACTGATTACAGAAGTACGGAGAGACTTTTATTTCAATTGTCATTTCTTTTTTGTGTTTTTTAAAACGATTTTCGATACGATACGAAACGTTACAGGGCAAGATGTTCGATAATCCCGCTTCACACATCTCTATTCTGTTACTGAGTTAAAAATTGTACGTATTTGTAATAAAACCATATATTGTAGTTTAATCGAAGACAACTAAGCTAAAAATTCCGTGTTTAAATTAAATGAATTTCAGTTTAAAAAATGAGTTACTATAGATGATGAACATCCTTGCATTGGAACTTAAGCTACTGTTGTCAACCCCGTCTTCAGTACAAAATTTTATTCCGAATGTCTGTACGGTTCTAGCATAGAGTTAAGAAAATGAACTTCAGAAGCAAATATGAATAAAACGCGATAGAATTCGTTAACTTTAAGAATAATCTACCTTTGATAGTAAATAATAATTATTTTTCTTGTCGCCGCGGTTGTGGTTAATTTTACTTATCGATTATCACCCATGTTTAGTTATAATCGTAGATTCTATCGTTAGTTACTGCCTTTTTTTCATCTTCATATTGTTTTGGCATAAAAATAATCTATTCACTAACTATAGCTTGTCTTGTTTATAATCTTGACCATCATTTATTGTTGATATGAGCGACAAAATTTCATTATAATTTTTACTCAATATTTATAATATCTTTATTTGTTAGTGGCGAGCGTTTCAACTCTTTTAGTTGCGAAAGTTAGTAAGTGCACGTACGATGGTACACAAAAAAAAAAACAGCGGACACGTACAATAATATATTTGCTCTTTCTTTTGTTAGTATTATTACATATTATACTAACCAAATACTACATTTCTCGTTTTCTTTTAATTTGTCAGGGAAACAGCGATAAGAAAGAACATTTTTAATCCATATAACAATTACAACAAATATTTAAATGGCTCTCTCTCTTTATGTAACAAAATTGAAAAATTTTCGCTAAAACGCGTTATACAATTATAAACGAAAATAAGAGAGATGAGACTAGATACAGGGATTCATTCAAAAAGTATCAAGTTTCATTATACTATAAAGAAATCCTCCGAAATAACAAAGTTTTTTTTATAACAACAACAAGATTTTTCTAACACACATATGTAAATTATTTGATATATTTTTCCATAAATTTTTTATGAAATTCACTTCTTAAACTGTCATTAATAAACTGTGATCGTTTACCAAGATTTTCTGCTTTAGCACAATTTTTAAATACAACATCATCATCCCAACGTCGTTTGACACGAAATTCACTGTTATTTGTTACGGATAATGCTTGTGATTGTTGTACGCTTTTAGGATTCAACAATGGATTACCTTTGAGAATATTTTCTGTTCGAATTCTTTCTTCTTCTACACGTCGTTCTTGTTCTAATTTGATTGCTTCTATTGCACGTTCCTTTTTAATGCGATTCAATTCAGCCTACACAAAAGCAACATAATAACAAGAGATCAGATTTTTTAACCTAGGTCAATATCATACCATCAATTCTTCCGTATCATCTTCATCTTCGTCGTCGTCATCATCTTGTGTCATATGATTGTTATTTCGAATTTTATGTCTGTTGCTACCGTTTTCATTTTCTTCATCGTCGCTTGATTCATCTAATGGATCATCGGCATCTAGATTCGACTGTATTGCTTGTAAATCATTATTTGAACGTACCGATGAACGTTTTCGATCATCACTGCTACTTTGCAGACGTTTTGAATCAGATGTACGTTGTGGTTGTTTATCTCTTACAGCACGTTCACGATCTTCTAATTCTCGACGAAAGTCTTTTTGTCGTGTTTCTTCGAGTGTATTTTGTCCTTTTTCACGATATTTTAATGTTTTGTGACTAGGCATATCGCGTGATGAATATTGTTTTGATTGCCCACTTAAATCACTTTCACCACGACTCGTACCGCCTTGTGCAGGTTGAAATGCATTTGTTGCCATAGCGTTTGAACTATTGCTCTAAGGATTTGATCTGAAAAAGAAACCAAATGTTAAATATGAACTTGTTTAATTAAAGAAGGTTTTCACTCTATCGTGCGATATACCTTTAAAGTATATCCACTATAAGTCTTAAAAAAGCAAAATTTAGAAACTTATAAAACGTAAAATCCGAATAATATAATAGAAAAAGTGCAAAAATTTGAATGCAGATTCATCCAGAAAGAATTCATAAATCAATGGATAACAGCCTTACAACTTAAGAAACGAATGAAAGAAAAATGTAATCTTACACATCACAAGAGAGAAAATAAAACAGTTGAAGGGCTATATAAACATATACGGACTATTTCTCAAGTAAAATGCAGCTGTCATTCCAGGAAATGTTAATAAGGACAAAGAAATTAATTAAGAAATTAATTCTCATTTGGCAGACGAATTCAGAAGATAATAGAGTAGCAAAGAGTATGATATTATATTAGAACATGCGTCATTAATGAACAGTGTAACTGCTGTTGGTAAATTCTTCCAGTTGTTCCCGCTAGCTCTACGAACAAACTTCAATAAACTAGTTAATTCATTCAGACCTTTTCTCATAATTTAGTCACTGATAGTTTGATCCAAATTACTGATAGAATACTGATATTCATTTCTCTCATTTGGAAAAGTTATACACAACGACGAATCACGTTGATAAATGTTTAGTAACACTCATAGATTTGATGCCCAAGTATGAATAAATGATCGATCACCGCTGGTCGAAATTGTAAGGCCATAAAAACATCGCTTATTGACAACGAAAATGAGCAGTTTTCGCTATTTGACAGAGAGGAATGAGTTACAAAAAAATTAAGAATGCGCAAAAATGCAGAATTTTTCCAGAAAAAACAGATACGATTACAAAAGTGATGCTTTTCCTGAAGGACGATTAGAAAAAAAACACAAAGACTTCTACTATAAGTATGTCTATACTCAGGAGGTATTAGCAAAAAGTGCGTATACCTAGACCAGATTGCAAGAGAAATTCTTAAAAGTAAAATTAGCTTTTCAAACATGAATAATTTTAGATGAAAAAGGCTTCTCAAAAATAATAATAATAATATCAACAGTTATGTGATTATATTCCTTTTCTTAAAACATTCTATATGGTAGCCGTTTTTGTCCTCCGAGATTTATTTTGACATTGATTTTAGTTATAGTGCAATTTTTAAATTACTTCTGGACGAAGGAAAAACAGTATGCTAAAAAATCTTGTCATAGTTAGACATCTGCGGGCATGCATGATTGATTCATACTTTTATTATTTACGAAAAGTTTAAGTTTTTCATCTAGAGCGTTTCACATTCGATTTGGACCATTCACATGAGATGATAAATTGAATACAGCAAGAAAAGATATATATTTCTTCTGCTGTTCTTTCGGCTGGAAAAAGCAGAGCTTGAGATGCTTGTGATCAGCTGCTATTCATTTTCCGCAAGGGTGAGTATTCAACTGAACAAGGTAGTTAAATCAAAATGGTAGCAAGAGGCGATAAAAGTTGTACAGCCAAATGATTTTGGCCCCACTTTTCTGGGAAAAAAGATTTGTGTATGTATTAAACTCGATAATAATACAGGGCCTATATTATTATCGAGTTTATTATTATCATTGTATGCCTGTAATACAGGCATACAATGAAAACAATTTGAATACAATAATCGTAAATGGAGTTTAATGTTATGGTTGAAAGTAGTTAAAACAGAACTTCTTTTATTGCGTGCGCCGTCTTATTTCAAACCTAATTTTCAGAAACGAAAAACCCCGAATGGCTGAGTAGAAACTTTTTAAAGATGTACCCGTCTCAAAAAACTTTTCTGAGTTTTGATAGATAGTATAAGAGGGACCCAAAGGTGAAAAGTGAACAAATCTCGATAAGACACAGAGTTGGAACGATTAATTTTTTACGAACGTCTCTAAAGTACTATATGGTCCTAATTCCCTTCACTTTAGTCTAGGGTCTTACAAAATGGTTCTCTGTGCACAGAGACATGTCTCTGATGTCTCTGTGCGCAAAATACGGAAAATGGCTGTTAGATATGGATAAGCCAATCATAAAGGAGAAAAATCAAAATTCTTTTTAAACAACGACAGAGGCAGAATATTCAAAGGGATGACCTGAAATATTTACTAATGAAGAGAGAAAAAAGATACGCAAAACTTTTCTGTCGTTCGAAGATAGATGTCGCCGGAAATCGGTCAGTTTTAACGAAACAAAAGAAAAGTTTTGCGTATCTTTTTTCTCTCTTCATTAGTAAGTATTTCAGGTCATCCGTTTGAATATTCTGCCTCTGTCGTTGTTTAAAAAGAATTTTGATTTTTCTCCTTTAGTGTTCTACTAACTTCGTGTAATGTACCTGTTTTATCACCTTGGGATCCACATGGACCTCTGATGGACAACAAGTGGTCGACCTTAAGGTATGCGTGTGAGAGTTAAAGATCTCGAAGTTTAAAAAAGAAAAGAAAATCATATATGTCGATCTTCGATTTTGTTTGGCAATTCCTGATATATATATAAGAGACATGATTTTTTTCTTACAGAAACTTGAGCTTATTATTACAAATATCTCTTTATATAACAACAACCGTGCACACTTCGAGAACATATTTGTTCTTGACAACAGAGTTCTAAAATTCGACTTGAACCTTACGAGTCGAGTATATACGGCGTCTGAAACCTGATTTGATCCGGATGGAATCAGATGCCAAACGTCGGTCGAGGTAGGATGTGGGTTACATAGTTTTGTCCACTCATGCAGGTCTCCAGTTGACAGTATTTATAGGGTATATTAGATGCGTCGGCAGCTGATCACAGGTATAGTATTGAAAGTTGGCTAGCGACAAGAAGGAATAAGATTCAGCTTTTTGTAAAAAGCGAAAAACAGAAATATGTTTTTCGACCTGATGTTTTCTGGAAAACAATGTCCCAAATAGATATCAGAAAAACTGAAAAACTCAAATTCTGTTCTTCCAGAAAATGAAAAAATCAGTTTTGCAAATTTTCAGAAACTCACATCAGATTCCTATTTGAGACAAATGAAAAACACAGTTTCAGTTTTCTGAAGAAGTTCTTTTTTTTAGAGTGTAGATAATTCAGGAATATGTCACATTCATCTGAACAATCTGGTATCAATAAGCTATGAGGTGTGAACTCTGAGTTAAAACCGACTTTTTCTGACATACTTCTTTCTCTTTGTCGCATTCTTCTTCAAGGTTTATCTATCTCTCAAAAAATACGACACTTCGGTTGTCATATCACAAAGAAGAGGATTTCAATGCGTATTATGTTTTGTATTCTCAATCTAGCCTAAGAAAGTACTCTCAAAAGTGATGGTTTTTCATTATACATTTTCTTGAAATACCTTTGATAACTTGTATGATCAGGTTAATATCTTATTACTAAAATGTTTAGTTTGGCTGATCAGATTGAATATAACTGTAATAGATTCATGGTTAAATTACCCAGGTTGATTATTTCGGTCAGTAAAAATTTAAGGTCAAGTTCATATTATTTAAATAACTCTTTGTATAAACTACTACTATACTCTCTTACCATCGTTCCATTTTTTTTTATTTCATTAAAAAAAGCAATTACTTTCTTCGATTTATCATACACTGACGGAAATTGCCTTGTTTAATGAGAGAAATAAAAAATAAGATAGTACGTGTAATCATACTTTTTGAAAAGATTGATGAAAATTGTACTTGCGAGAGTAGATGTACTACGTTGACGATTGAGTCCCACATTTTATTGCTATGATTAAAAATCAATAAATTAGATCGCTAAAAAGTTGTTCCAATTTCCTTTCTTTCCCGATCATTACTATCTATTTCAATTAGAAATGCGGTCCGTTGTTTTTTGAATAATTCTTGATCGGAATGACATAGAGACTTGTGGTTTTCACCATTGTGTAGAGAAGACCTGACGAGAAATATCTATGGAAAAACAAAGCTACTCGAATAATTAGTACGTGGTGCATCTGGCAAGTCTTTGAAAGAGGCGCTTACTGATGGACATATCGCAAGGCACTTATCACCTTGAACACTATAGTCACTGATGTTGACATTATTTTTCCTTTGTTTTATCTTTTCAGTCAGGTCAAATCTTACCCGCAGAGCTGGTACGAGCGTGGACGGGGCGGGTGACCCCCTCCCCAATTTTGAAAAATTTTCGTTTTTCTGCAGCGAAGCTTAAGATTTTTCTTGTGTTTTGTGCGATTTTGAACTGTGGACCTCCTCTCCAGTCCTAACCGCTTGGAACCAGCTATGCTTATTCGAGTGAACCAAAAGGAGTGTCGTTCCAGCGTCCGTTCAAGGTCTCGTATACGCCTTCTGATTGTTCGATGATGATGATTCAACGGCAAACAGAAGAACAACAAAAGCAAGGTTATGGAAATAATAATGAACAACAACAAATTGAGCAACGAGAAGGGCGTGAATTAGCCCTAAAGATCAAACCTTATAGAAATCTTATAAGAATCTTATGCTACAGTCGATAGAAATGCATATTGTGCTTATAAGGTTCTTATGTAAGAAACTTATAAGATTCTTATAGTCAAAAACAAAAACAAAAAAGGAAAAAACTTGTTTTTTTGTTGCCTATAGGACGATAGCAAAGTTTTGAACCTTAAAATTTTTGAATATTTTTTATAAGGCACTATAAGATTATAAGAATCTTATAAGAAAATTATATAACTAAAATCTTATTGAAATCTTATTTAATTCTTATAAGATTCTTATATTGCGAATTATAAGAATCTTATAATTACAGTATGCATTTCTCTCGACTGGAGCATAAAAGATTTTCATAAGATTTCTAATCAACCCTCTTTTTAATTTTCTAAATTTCTAATTTTCCTTTCTTTTTTTTCTAATTCCTCTTTCTAAATTTTTCTTATCTGATTTCCGTACTGTCGGTCGCCTAGGGATGATATTAATGAGGATGAATATTAATTGAAAATTAGCCT